CTTAAACCAGTTAAAACTCTCCATATGAAAGTGAGCATCTGAATTTGACTCAGAAAGCAACTAGCAATCTGTATGGCTGTGTCAACACTGGGATGACTCTGAGAGGTGTTATTCACCAATTATGCCACCGCTTTCTGAGTCAGCTACAATTTCTGTGTCATTTTCCAGTGCCACTTTATGAAGAGCACATTGCAATAATCCAACCTTGATTGTGTCTCTCCTCCACGAAAGGTCACAACTGATTTACTAGCTCAGTCGGATAACAGGCTACCTTGCCATTGATTTTACATGGTTGTCTATAGTAAAGGTAGAGCCAAGGAGGATTCGTAGTCAATGAATTTGTGCCTGAAGAGCGAATGCAGCCTCTTTCAAAGATAAATTACCAAATGAAATGTTCAAGTGCAGAGAATCAAAATAATTCTCTCTTGTCTGAATTCAACACCACTGTATTTTCCTCCTACCTTTAGTCAGAGTCTAAAGGCATCTGGAGGTTTTTAAAATGTCTAACTCTCGCAGCATTCCTCTTAATTGAAGGTCAGAACTATGTATTTTAACTTGCTTGCCTATATTATCTAAGCTTATTTGCTTATTGGCTGAGATGGAGAACAGTACTCCGCCATCTATGTTGAAATAAAATTTGGTTTTTACAGACCAGTTTCTATAAGTGGAATTGGGGTGGATAGTGAGGAAACACTGTAATATCCTGCTATTCAGCAGCTACTGTAAATACCTCAAGCTAATCTTGGTTACTTAATATTTCTATTAGATAAAGATCCTTTAAATAATACAAGACATGGTATTATTAACAGAAGCTACCCTATAATTTAAAAAAAAACACCTTGATTTTGGGTTACAAGCAACAGATTTTGCTCTACACAAAATCTGGCTCCACATATCATGTTAATCTATCATTTGCTTGTCCATAGTTTATTAAATAAACCACAATGGCTGAATTCAACAATAAACAAATTCACAGTCACTGAATTCACATGATACGTTAAACCAAGTAAACCAAATAAACCACATTAAGACTTAGCATGATGTATTAATCCAGTAATATTCTGCTTTCTGCAACTTGAGCTAGAATCATTGAGAGAAGACACAGCTTCTGGGATGTCTACAGGTATCTTTTTAGTCTTTTTTCCTGTGGAGTTCCAGAATTAAAATAATCACAGAACCTCAGACAGAAGGATATCATGACTGTAGATACATTCCACAAGTTAAAAAAAAAAAGAGGATCTAATCCTTCATCAGCATTATAGATAAAAACATTATTCCTTTTGTTAAAATGGAAAATGATTAAAAACGTAGCGGTAATGTAAATATCTTCATTAAAGAGAAAGTACTATGGTTTAGAGCAGGGGTCAGCAACCCGCAGCTCTGAAGCCACATGTGGCTCTTTCATCCCACTGCTGTGGCTCCCTGTCGCTCAAAATATTACAACTGCCAATGTGTGATACCTGCCGGCACACGATTTATTGAGCTTTTTGATCCCCGGTAGGCCAACCATGGATAAATCCAAGAAAAGAAAAGTTTCAGAAGAAAACAGAACGTTTAATTCAACTACATATGCTAGTTCTGTGGTTGCTCAGGAAAATAGTCAGGCACGGGAAGGTTTTTGTGGCTACCGGTGTTTTTTTTTCTGTGGGAAATGGGTCCAAATGGCTCTTTGAGTGTTTAAGGTTGCCGACCCCTGGTTTAGAGCATAATTACTGAGATCTTCAAAAGTATTGCAAATAGGAATTCTCTATGTTCCCAAGTTGAGTCATCTGGCAATGAACTGCTCTGTAAGAATGTGACTGTAATAGATTAGGTACTTGAAACATATCAGGTACAGATTCTAAAACTACAATCATGAATAATCTAATATAGCATTCAAAGAAACTATAGCTGTGCTGTAAATATATAGCAAGCCTCAGTCTTACCTCTAGCTAAAGATTATTCTCTAATAGCATAGGAATGGTAGGAGTTAATTATTACAATAATGATGAATTGTATTATTATAAGCCCCATAAACTGTAAAGTGGTCTAAAATATGAAATATGACTTCTTCCTATACTTTCTCACCCTCAGCTTTGTTACACTACTATATAAATTACTAACATATCCTAACACAGGAATTTCTTATAAATACAATTTCAACAGAAAATTCTTAGGTATCCCTCCACCCCCCCCCATGACTTCCAGTGTTTTATAGCCTGTATTAAAATGATCGTATCACGATTATGAGGCAAGCCAAGTCATCTTTTTCTTTTGCTAAATTGGAGGTAGCACTAATAACCCACTAAGAATAGAATGGCATTTTCCCTTTCATCTGAAAAGATTCTGATATTACGGTTTTAATTCAGATGTTATAGAGATGTCATATTGCACCATTTCTTTATGGCAGGGCAATTTCAAAAGGAAACCTTTTTTTTTTTTTTTTTTACAAAATTAACTACCAGTCTCCTCAGCAAATTGGCATGGTTAATTAACTTGCATTTCAGAGATGACTAATTCTTGAATGTTTTCTTATATTATGTAAAATAAAAAGGCACTGAGATTTCTTTCACACTTTTGTGTGAAGTCAGCATATTGGGGACGAGAATATTGGGCTTGCAAAACAAGCATTCAGACCTTACATTACAAACCACTGAAATGAGAATCACTTTAATTTCTGCATTAATTTATCTGGGAAGCCCTCGACTGCAAAAGGGTTCCTTCTAAATGAGCACACATAATGCTTTACATCTTCTTCATTTGTGAAAATGCCCGTGCGTTTGTATAAAATTCACTGAACTATAATTCAAAGGGGGAAAAACCACTTGTACTATCTCTAGCTTGCATTATGCCAACTTTAGATTGTACTCCACCCCCTTGCTTTCTGAAAAGATACAACATAGCATAATTTTGTGTTCTGTGTTATGTAAACACTTATACTCTAAGGGTAAAAATGGAAATACATATGAAAGATTTGCGATCGGGATTTTCTGCTCTTGAAAATAGTGAAAGTCTTTGGTCTTCTAGGAGACGCAGTCCCGACACATCTAGAGAATGCCAGGTTGGAAAAGGTACAGGAAATCAAAACTTGTCATTTATTTCATCCAGACTGAATTTGATTAAAGAGTTATGAAAAAAACTGTACTGTACTGTACTGTACTATACTGTACTGTACTGAGAACATTGTGAAACTGAATGCAAAATGTAATCTAAAACCATTTGTCCAAGACCAGTCCTAAATTTTACAAACAGACAGATCATCATCTTGACCAGACAGTATAATAAACTGCATTATTTTTTATCTTTTCTATCATGACATGGCTATAGAAAAATGCCTCTAAGTTCTGATCAATTTCTTCTATGAATCTTCTTGCTACCAGTAGTCATCATTGGAAAGTTCATCCTCTAATTAGAATATATCATTAAACCATCTCTATTAAACCTTCTGTGAGAATCTATCCCCTTCTTCCACATAAATACGATAGTAGTATATTATATTATTTATTTTACATAAACACCATAGTAGTAAACTATATATATTAGTATAGTATAGTATAATAAGTATAATAGTATACTATAGAATAATAGTATTTTTGGCATTAATATTTGCAGCATTGTAATGCCCAATGAAAAGAAATTTTCTGGAGTCAAACTACATTCTTTAGTTTTTGAAACAGCTTTAGCATCATTGGGAAAAATGGAATTGACATAGACATTGGGAGGTGTTTTTATTTATACAAATGAATGAAATATATTTATGGAAAATCTATACACTTCAGTTCTGAATTGGGGGCTTTAAAAATAATGATTTGTTTATATCACTTTTAACTCTGTTGAATTCTGCACCTTTTACCCATTTAATAAGAAATGAAACTTGAGGGTGTTCAATCTTGCTGAAATGAAATGGTATCTTAAGTAAAATACAATAATAGAAAATACATGGGTATTTCTTTTTCCACTAACTTAGGAACTTAGGATCACAACTTATTTTCAGATTTAATAGTTTAGTATAAAGAACATGGAGAATAAGAAACAGTAACTGTCATTTTACATCATAAATTCTAATTTTGTTTATTCTTTGATAAATACAAATTAGTTCCATATATTATCTAAGGATAAAATTCATTACTATTTTGTAAAAAACAAAAAACAAAACAAAACCCTAAAACCACAACCACTTTTTTGCTTCATATGAAATTATCCCAAGAAAGAATTTTAAAATAAAATCAAAGCTAAAATTTCAAAGATGTCTTATATTCATGCTAAAATGAAAAGCTTTGAAACAATGAATGAAATTTATGTAAAAGAAAGTTTGTGATTTGTTGTCCAGAGCCAAAAGGAAGATTTAGGATTCAACTCTAAAATATACTAAATTCCTTTTGAATTGCTTCTTCTTCTTCTTTTCTTTTTAAAGAGAAACAGCTTTACAAGGTAAAAGTGGGGAAGGGGGAGGTTTAAACCTCTCTGTTTTCAGTATTCTTGGTTAGCAGCTCTCAGTTGTTTACAACAGCATAAAGAAAAAAAGAGGATTTGTATACTGTCTATATATCATGTGATTTATTTTTGGCTCAACCTAAGCAGTGAACAAACAACATTATTATAAATGTGGTATTTATCTAATGTGATCAAAGAGTTGGAAGTTCACTCTTGGAAGTTCAAGTACAAATCCATCCAGTCACTTGTTATAGTTCACACACACTGTTGACCCATAGCTTGTTTCGATAATGGTTCCCTAATAAGGTAAAGTGTTTGATACACATTAAGCTATAAATGATGATTTAAAAGGCACAATGGCTGGCTCTTACAACTTGTTAAGCCCAAAAGCATGCCAACTACATTCTGATTTAACACAATCTATGATTCGAGTGAAGGTATTTAATATCAAGTATGTATTTTGTAGACATTGCTTCTTAAAATGTAAACTAGTTGTAGTAGTTATCCTGAAAATAAAAGGTAGATAAAGATTTGGAAGGGCATTCTACACAAAAGCTCAATGCAATTAAATCAAATGCCTTACCCACCTTCAGTATGCACAGCGGATACATATGTCCAGTTGTAACGTTTGACGATGTCAAGCATGGCTCTAGCTTGCAGAATATCAGATGGAACCACCCTCAAGAAATATTTGTACAGAGTTTTGTCACTCAAGTCAATACTGGTTGCAGAATAAGCAATCTGAGGAATATCAAAAAGTTGAAGCAGATTTTGCACTTGGATGGCTACAGAACTGGAACCTGGACCAATGACACCAGCAATGGGTTTTTTAGCCCTGATCTGGTGATGATATAAAGGATCTGGCAGGCAACGACCCAGGGCATCTTTTTCATCTCGGATAGAGATCAAAGAATCCCTTATGAATTCAATACTCTGTTCCAAGGCTACTGAAGAATGCCAGCAGGAATCTCGAATTTCACTGCCAAGAATGATGTTGGGCAGCAGAATTGGGTCTGCATTTATCTTATCCAAAGTGTGAAACATGGCCTCAACTCTCTGGATGCCATATTGCTCTCGGATCTCACCACACTTCCTTTCTGGTACTTTCTCAGCTGGGGGTTGATGATGGACTGAAAAGAGGGCTCCTATAATGACATCCCCATCCATTCTGGCTACTGATCTTTGGGAGGTAGCTGCTGAAATCAAAACCTTTCTCCCAGTATTCTTGGGGAGAAAATCCATCTCCAAGAGGATAGCAGGAAAAAAGACAAGCAGGACTCCTATCATCTTGTTGCAGGAGACCATCCAGATCCAAGTGACCAGTTTCATGGGATCTTCCTGTCTACACATGGTTAGAAGCATAAAGAAGACCACAGACTTTCTTCACTATTTCACTTCTTAAGAATCTCCAAGGTGATTTTAAAGCAAAAGCTTAAAGGGGCAACAGAAGTCACTGTAGGCGTGAATTGTAGCCTGTTGACATGAGAAGAAAGAACAGAACACATTCATCAGCTAAAAGTATGGCACAGCCAAACACTGTAAAGGTCATTTCCTTTATAAGTATCCCTCTCCACCTGCCTAGACTATTAGTAGACACCGTAATCAATTGGCTGCAAAGAGCAAGTTGTCCTTAAATACAAATCCCTCCCCAAATAAAATATCTATCTATCTATCTATCTATCTATCTATCTATCTATCTATCTATCATAGATGAAGATAACAGAAAATTCATTTCACATAATATTCTAATAGAAATACATTCATTGGCAGATATTTGCATGACCAGTTGAATTCATTCATACTTGACAATCTGCATGTATATCACTGAGAATATATTTTATGTACTAGGTGAAGTGGCTTTTACCTGTAAACTGATATTTGAATGGGACTGAGGAAATCTTATAAGTTATCAAACTTCCATAGGTTGTGTAATTTTTTTTAAAGAGCAAATTGTTTACTCGAGGATCAGAAAGCTGTACCCGTTCCAAACATCACCAAAAAGAAAAAAGCAAAGCAGAAACAAAATGTCATTTAAAGGTCAAGCTCGAATTGTTAAACAACCAAACAAGGTACCAGCCTTTTGTGGCAAGATTATTAATCTTCGGAATTTTGAAAGGAAAATCTGTAGTTCTGAGCTACAACTATGCAAGCCGTGGGAAAAACATATTAGTTACTAAGGCAACCGCAGACAAAGTCCTGATATGCTTTTCTGGCACCTCTTGGTTTTCATGCAGACTTTGGGCAGGAGAGGTGGCAAGTCAGGCGGCTAGAGTTTAAGTAGTTTAATGCGATTTAAAAGGCGATCGGCCGGTGTTCGAAATAATTGCTAATAGGAAAGAGATGTTTCGCTGAGCTCGCCTGTCTGGGCTTCCTGTTGCATGGGCTAGCTAGGCTTATAGATTTCAGGACCCTGGACAGCGATTTCCGCAACCCAAATCCTAAGGAGTTCCTCCGGTCCTGGAAATGGAGATTCAAGGGCGATGCTAAGCATTTTGTGCCCGAAACTTCTTGCTCTCGCTGCTTTTTATCTTTGTATCTCTCAAATTCGCTCAGACAAACACACGCACGCACCTCTTTCACTAGCACCATCCCTCCTCCCGCCAATGCCTGACAACAGAACGAAATACATACAGAGAATTCCAGTTGCAGCAGCTTCTGCTTCCCATTCTTCCCGGAATGGCTTTGAATGCCTACAGAATTAAGCAGCGGCGGTAGGTTTTTCTATCGCAAGGCAGATTTCAAATTGCACCGTACTCTCTTCACATCCCCTCCCTCTTTCTTCTCCCTGAAGGGCAGGAAGCCCAAAGCACCACGAAGGAAAGGGGGGAATAAAAGGGGCGGAAGAAAGATACTCCGAGGAAGGGATTCAAGTCCCATTTTTCCCTGCGCACACGCACGCTGAATACTGCCGAGGGTCTCAAATCGGTCGGGAAACCCACCCTATCTGCCATCCATCGGCATGTATGATGAAGTCTTGGGCTGGGCTCTTTTGCCTACGATCTTAAGCTCGCTCTGATTAAACTTAAGACAGACCTACCTTCACCCGAATCCAGGACGCAATTCGCTCCTTCCTTGGTCAGAACGTTTATTGCCAATTCTTCTCTTTGCCAGAAGCTGGTAGAGGCAGATGGAAGGAGATGGGCTGTACGCGACTGCCCTCTTTCTTCAACGTGGTTTTACCGCATGAAGCAAGAAGAGGGGGCGGCGGGAGGGGGGGGGAGGTAGCTCAGGTCATCCAAGGCTCTTCTGGTATACAAAGATTGGCCATCCTTCCCACCGCCCTTCCCCGGATTCCCCCACTTTCCTCCAGCTCTTTTCTGATAATCAGTTCCCTATATTGTATATGTTTATCTCAACGGAGGAAAGAGCTCAGCTTTTCAAGTACCAGCAGTTCATTGCTTCCCTATCAAATAAGCAAGCAGCAGTATGTGAAGAAGAAAATAAGAGGGGAGGGAAGAATTGGATTCAGAAGTGTACATATAGATCTGCCTTTCTTTTTTTTTCTTTTTTACTTTTATTTGCAATTTAAAATTTAGCTTTTCTAATACTGGAAGTAAATACTACTCAGAGGAAGAGAGAGAGCGGAGGGGGAGAGACAGAGAGAGACCCTGTTGAATTTTTCAAACATTTGAATGAATGAAAATGGTATCCAAATTAAGTAGATGGTGGATTCTTTAAAAATCAGTCTGATACGTGTATGTTGGGAGTACGTCTGGTTAAAATAACGCCAGGTTGAAAGATACAATGGAAGAGTTTGCTATACTGATAAAATTAGTAGTTTTAGTGTTTTCAGTTTATTATAAGGAAGTTGAAGTTAAGCGGCATCCTGCTGGAAAGAGCAGACACAGTCGAAGAGTCCTACTTCAAAAGAGGTAGACGCATTTAATGAGGCATAGAACTGTGGTACTGTACTGTTTTACAGAGGGTTATCTTCCAGGGTTTTGTTTTAACCTTTGTGAATTTACATTACCTTCTTGTAATTGGGATACCTCTATTAGAATCTTCATTTAAAATCAATAGAAAATGCATGCATTTATGTCTCTTTGTGTGTGCATGTATGTGTGTGTAGGTATGTGTTTGTGGGTATGTGTTTGCTGAGAAAAAAAATAATAATTAGTTTTTTTCTTGCCTAAAAGGCACCCATAGAGATGTGCATTTCATAGAAGACCTTTAAACAACAGAACCTACCATGTTTAAAATAAGCATCGTTGTTGATATTAAATAATAGGAGCCAGATTGGCTAAAATACCCACACAACATTTTATGCCTGGAAGACTTACCAACTGTCTATTTTACATCTTCATTTCAATCACTCTGTTCACCTAACATGTCCCCTGGGTAACTGGTTCCAAAACCTGTTCACTACCAAGGGAACAGCCTACACATAGCAGCCTCACGAGTTCTATTGCAGAAAAGGAAGAAAAGGAAGGAATCATATATACCCGTGATGGTGAACCTGTGGCACACAGAGCCATATTGGTGGGCACTCGAGCGTTGCCTTAGCTCAGCTCCAGCACGCGTGCACATGCTGGCCAGCTGATTTTTCAGGCCTTCTGGGCCCACCGGAAGTCAGCAAATGGGCTGTTTCTGGCCCCCAGAGGGCCTCCGGGGATGGTGGGGAAGGCTGTTTTCACCTTCCCCAGGCTCCTAGAAAGCCTCTGGAGCCTGGGGAGGGCATAAAATGGGCCTACCGGGCCCACCGGGCTATCACATGCCAAAAGCGGGGGGACCATGGGGGGGGTCATGCACATATGCATGGGGGGGCAGGGAGCATAGAATTATGGGTGTGGACACGCACGTGCGCAACCACCCCACACACCCCCTGCTTTTGGCACAGGATGGCAAAAAGGTTAGCCATCACTGGTATATACCCTCCACTGATGTAAAACCCATCTAAAAGCATATTAGATCATGAAGTTAGTTAGGAAAACTGTTTCAAAACCAGTCATTGATTATCCAAGGGCATCTAGCAGTGGTGAAATCCAATTTTTTTTACTACCGTTTCTGTGGGTGTGGCTTGGTGGGCGTGGCAGGGGAAGGATATTGCAAAATCTCCATTCCCACCCCACTCTGGAGCCACCAGAGGTGGTATTTGCCGGTTTTCCGAACTATTCAAAATTTCCGCTACTGGTTCTCCAGAACCTGCTGGTTTTCACCCCTGGCATCTAGCCATTGATTTTAATTACTTATGCATTCATTCATTCATACAATTTATATCCTCCATTTCACTGTTTAACAACCTCAGATTGTAGATCCAATTGAACTAAATTGTTAAAAAATCACCAATTAAAAGAATTACAAGAAAACAATAAATAATTCAATGAAGAGTTTGTCTTGAAAATTATTTCTCAGTTTTTATATAGTTGTTTCTACAATGTGTTTTAATCTTGATTATTAATCCATCAGGTTTTTTTTAGCCAAATTACAAACCTGAGGAGTCATATACCACCCAATTGATTGGAGTTGGATATAAGCTCCATCAATAAATAAAACATTTCCCTCTATGTGTGTGTATAGAATAGTAATACAGGTAATTTTGATTTAATGACCTTTGCAGTTACAACTAATGAAAAAGTAATGTTATGACCAATCCTCACATCTGCAACCTTCACAAGTCTATAAAGCAAAGGAAAGCTGAAGTAAGATCATAATCATAATCACAGTCTCAGTTTCATTTAGCAAACCTTTTTGCTTACTGACTAAGTTGCGGGTCGCAATTGTGGTCTCTAAACAAGGACTTCCTGCACCATCAAAATGGAAACTGTTGCATTATCCCTTAAAGAATTGATGGATAGATAGATACATACTGTAATAATGCAGCACTGGGATCTGTGCACTCAAACTAAGAATACCTCTCTTTTGGGTCACACAAAATTCATTGCTAGCAGATGTGGCACCCTCTAGAGGGCTTTTCTACTAGATTTTTAGTTGATAATCAAGTATATAATGGAGCTGATGCTTCACCATATATTTAGATCCTAAGACTTTTTGGGGTTTTCTATAAGTAGCATAAGTATTTGGCATAATATATTTGCGGCAGATTTCCCCTTGCAGCAATCTAATTGAATGCAGTATTGCTGCCTGCCGGTTGCCTGCAATTTGGCAGATCGAATCTCACCAGGCTGAAGGTTGACTCAGCCTTCCATCCTTCCGAGGTAGGTAAAATGAGGACCCAGATTGTTGGGGGCAATATGTTGACTCTGTAAATCACTTAGAGAGGGCTGTAAAGCACTGTGAAGCAGCATATAAGTCTAAATGCTATTGCTATTACTCTCAAAACCAAGGCAAATCCACTTGCATTCTCACTTCTTGCCTTGTAAAGGCCCTGTTATCACATATGTTCTGACCTAGAATCAATCTTTATTTTTTTCCCCCAGGATCATAATGCAGCTGTGTGGCCACCAGCCTTTTGAGCACCTTCCCTGGAAAGGAAATGTAAGCAAATGGATAATAATTATTTTGAGAATTTATTTTTTAAGTATTATTCTAAGAGTTTAAAGATTTTACATCCCAAGTGCTTTCATCTAAACTATTGTTATTCATTGGTAGATATTCTCTGCATCTGTGTTAAAACATAGTTATTCCATCATTCCCCCACTAGTCAATAAATTTTCAAGTAATCTGTGGAATTTGGGGAAGAGCCATATATAATTCTTCTGCACTGTATTGACAAAGTGCAACAAAACGAACTTAATAAGATTGCTTGAAAGAACCACCACTTCAGAAGTCCTAACACTATAATGCTGTTAAGAAGCATGAATACACAGCATAATACTACACTAAATTTTTGTACGTGTTGAACATTCCTGATCTTCTAGCATAAGCTGGAAAGACGTCCGTACGGACACACACATACCCCAACACTTTTCTGAGATGAAAAGAATGAAATGTAAGAATGATCTCCTAGTTTTGATAGGCATGAATTTTAAATCGACACAAGATTACAGTAGTAATGTTTTTTCAAGCGACTTTATGTATCACCCGCAGAGTGATTTCATTCACATAATGAAATCCATATATCTTTCTTAATGTAAGTAAAGCCCTCAGACTTTTTCAGAAAAATCAGTAAAGAACAAGTTTTCATCTGGCTTCAGGCATGCATGAAATACAATAATCCATGGTTTACAAGGCTGAGACTTACTGCAGATGTTTAACACTTTCGAGGGAGTCAAACTTCCCCACCAATTCCATACTTCGTGTTATATGCATGCACCTTGTGCCTGTATATGTATACCAGTGGTGGGTTGCCCCTGGTTTGGACTGGTTCTATAGAACTGGTAGTAAAACTGGCAGAGGCTCCGCCCGCTGACCCTGATGTCATTAGAAGCAAGCGCACACGTGCAATCCAGTGGTGGGTTCCTCCCGGTTAGGCCCGGTTCTCCCGAGCCGGTAGCAGTGACGATATGACATCACAGAACCGGTTCTGCCCCCCCGCCCCCATGCGCTCCCCCGCATTATTCTTACCTTTTATTTGGCCCCACCCCTAATCTATTGCTGCCTCCTGAGTTCCAGATGATGGCTAGAGGGAAAAAAACTGTTTAAACTCTTGCCGCGGGGCTTCAAAGGGCTGCCCTACAGCTGATCAGTATTAAAAGAAAATAAATGAGTAGACCAAAGCCTGCAAAAATACATGAGTAGATCAGTGCCTGCAAAAATACATGAATAGATCAGTGCCTGCAAAAATAAATGGGTAGACCAGTGCCTGCAAAAATACATGAATAGATCAGTGCTTGCAAAAATAAATGGGTAGACCAATGCCTGCAAAAAATAAATGTGTAGATCGGTACAACTCTGCAAGCAGTTAAAAGCCTGCTACACCAGTACCTCTGCTAAATCCTAAATAATTGTCACATGACCATCAAGACACCCCACAAAATAAGCCATGCCCAAAGAACCAGTAGTAAAAAAATTTAGAACCCACCCCTGGCGCAATCCCATTGCAAATCTGTAGTAAAGGTAAGTAGAATGAGCCCTGTTGTATACATGTTTTGATATGCATGTATATCAGTGGTGAAATCCAATTTTTT